GGGGGGGGGGGGGGGGGGGGGGGGGGGGGGGGGGGGGGGGGGGGGGGTTCTAATAATCCAGGTGGAGACAACAAGGGTTCGAGATATGTATGTACCCTTGTTTTCTGAAGCAGCAGTGTAAGAAAATGCTGGGGCCCGCGACAAAGAGCAAGATATCTCTGGGGCCCCTTGATTGTGAGCTGTGCGTTGCCAGCTTCCGAAGCTGAACGACCGGACTGCATCGTGGTATCGGGACACAGGGGCCAGGACACGAGACACGAGGACACGAGGACACGAGGACACGACCTTAGGGGAGGGGAGGAGGGAAGGCCGGTGGAAGTGCTGTCATATCTCGCGGCGGCCGGCGGGAGCACCAGCCCCAATTTGGTCTCGGCCGCTAAACAAAGACGAGGGGGGAGTGATGTGTGTGTGTTACGGCTTTGATATAGTTGGGGCACCGCTGGCAGTGCCGACACCAGCGGGTCGCATGGTGAACTTGGCTGCGTGTAGTGCACTACCGACCACGTGCAACCGCTCAACCGCGGCACTACTGTAGCAACAGCAACAGCAACAGCAACAGCCAACAGCAACATCACTTCAACATCACTTCAACATCAGCAGCAGCCGCAGCACTACGCAGCAACACCAACAGCTCCTAACAACCGCAGAAAAGACAAGGCGATTCCCACAACCACGACAAAACCGCCCACCTTCCTCCAGGGCGAACGTGGCTGAGCTCACGAGGTCACGACACAAGTCGCAGTCCAGGGCATCCCTCACAGCCTTCCCGTTGATAGTCAGCAGCGAGTCCCGCTGCTTGGGGTCTAGGCAAGACCAAAACTCCGACAGACCCCCCCCCCCACTGCTTCCACCGGCGCCACCATGGTGATTCCGACGACCACCGCCTCGTGCTCCCCGCCCCCCCCCCCCCCCNCCCCCCCCCTGCCCGGCTCCGGCGAGCACATCTACCTAGAATAGATACGTTTTAGGGGGAAGAGAGCGTCGAATCGGCACGGGAACCTAAGCCAGTCTGTAGATAGGCGTATGTGGTTGAAAAATCAGTCGAGCAGGGGGGGGGCGGGAGTCAAGCTTGTGTCGGATAGGGCAGACCATGCAAACGGATACACAAAAGTCATGGACCTCCATTAGGGCTTAGCCAGCTGCTGCACAGTTGGTGAGTTGCTTAATTCAAACAACAAGCGAGCGGGCTGCCTTCACAGTTTCGATTGATGATATAGAGCAGCAACATGAAGCTCGACCCAAACTCGAACGAATCGTGTTGTATCATGATCTTCGATGAAGCTGCAGGTTGAAATACCGCAGCGCGACCAGTGCTCGTCGATTCGGGTATACTGTAGTTTAGTCTACATTCGACAGGCGACTCAAGATTTGCCTTCTTAGCATTACTCACAACAGACCTGCAGCAGCAGCAGCAGCAGCAGCAGCAAGCTCCCCCCCCCACACTACAGCTTGCACGAAGGTTTTGGTGCGAGAACAAACTGCTGCACTAGACTACTGCCGTTGTGCTCCATGTTAATACTGCTTAGTGCAAAAAACTGCGAATCGCTCATGTACAGCAGTAGGTTCGAGTCGCGAGTTACTGCTGTGTACGAACTACGAAGTACGACCCGGCTGCGGTCTCCTGGCCTCCCTCTGTTGGTGAGGTGGCGCCACGATTAAGGTACACTGCTGTTTTTCAGGGCATGCAAAAATCTTTGGGGCCAACGACAAAGGGCAAGGCATCTCTGATGTTGATCATGAGCTGAGTTTCTTCAAGTTGGAAGACGGATTGCATCCTAGCAATGAGACACAGGGGGTGAGGGCACGAGCTAATAGGAGAAGCAGCAGCCCTCTGGCGGTCAGCATCAAGGCTACCGCTACAGCAGCTTCGTCAACCTCTATTTTTGAAAGCAGGAGAGCCCTATGATACTGGCCGGTACGGATCGATCTGCCCATGGGTAACCTTCCAAACATGACGATTCTCTGACGAGAATACACGGCAACGTGACCCCCAGCACCCACAAGGACCATACAGTCCTGCACCGACCCTATGGTAATCTGCTGATCGTGTGTGCTGCTGGCAGGTTGAGGATGATGAGGCAAGCAGCGAGCAGACCCTCACAAAAACAGGGTTTCTTCTTTGAAGTGCTCCTGACATAGTGCTATATCTACGGCCACGCAGAACTGTACCTTGTCGTGTCGACGAATTGAGGGTGTTTGTCATCAGCAGCAGTGATCCATTGGCAAGCTCACAACGTCCCCGCCAGATACCCGCTCGACATCGAGGTGCTTCTCGTAGCAAGCCCGGCGTCCTTGGGTCATCTGTTGGGGGCACAACGAACTGTATTTTCACAGTACACGGAGCACATCGGTACTCAAACCCCGGAGCCTCTCTCTCAAACAACTCCCTGAAACCGTCAAGTTCATTGGGTAATCCGACGACCGTAGGAACATCGTTTGTGCGGAAGGTTTGCAGGGCTACCTTCTCCTGGCTCTGATGCACACACTGCTGTGGTGTACAAGTTTGCTCGCTGAACGTGTGTGTTGTACGTAATAGCCAGTGCCGCGCACGACAATCGGCCGTGGAGACACACAGCAGAAAGAACGCTCGGAGTCGTCAACATATTTTTGTTCTGGAAATCGGGCAAGCTTCATCATCTTGTTGAGGTCACATAGTTCGTGCCTGGCGGCAGAACCTCGTGGTAAGCAACCCGAAGATGAGCAGAAAAGTAAACGCTCTGCCACCGAGCGAAACTTGAACATGAGTCCTAGGACGCCTTGAGCGTCATCAGCCGCTGTGAAGCGCTCTACGGATCTCGCAGGCACGAGTCTCGGTCGTGCCGCAAAAGGCGGCGGATCCTGCTTTCTGACAGTGCCGAACAGTTTTTGTCGCTGCCCTTGCCTACACGCGCATAAACCAACAGCACGATCCCTACTCCAACAGGTGGAGCTACACCTTCTTGCTGTGGGTGACCGGCATGGGTGCCAAGAAGAAAGGGGGCGGTGCGAAAAAGGGGGGTAAGGGTAAGAAGGACAAGAAGCCTAAGGATGCCGTCGGAGAGGCCGTCAACGAGGTTGAAGAAGCGGAGAGAAAGGTGATAACCTGCATAGAGACCCTGTCCTGTATTCAGCGTATGTTGAACGCTGGCTGCCGTAGTACACAGCCTTGTTGCTGTTGATCTTTGTATGCTCTGCTCTTGAGACAGTGGAAATGATAATATATGGTAGATGCCTGCGGGAGGCGTCCCGACGAGTTCGAGAAGGCATCCATGAGCTTGGCTGAGAAGCTACTGCTTTATTTTCGTCCCTACAACAGAACGAATCCATCTCTATCCACAGATAAAGAGTCCAGAATAACGTCGCAAAGGATCCATAGTGTTAACGGGAGCAATACCTGTGCTTCTACGAGTCCCCGAGCAGCACGGCAATATCTCCTCTGAAGCTGTTGCGCGTTATACAGACCACACGTATTGGGAAGCTACTGTAGTGACGCAATTGGTTGAGAGCATTGAGCGCGCGTCGGCTGTGAGACGAAACATGCGGTACAGTGCCAGAGTTGCTGTTGCTGTTGTTGTCGTTGTCGTCGCCTTCAAGAACACAATTTCCGAAAGTGTAGTTGCGAGTCTCTTTCGTCCCTAGTGTTGGCGTGATTGTCAAGATGGTATGTGATGACGAGGTCTGGGGAAGTGGGAGGATAACAGGAGAGAGAGAGAGAGAGAGAGAGGGAGAGAGAGAGAGAGAGAGAGAGAGAGAGGCCTCTCGTGATGGTGAACTCATTCCACTATTGTGGGGCGCCATTACCTCAAATCGAATGGCCTACATAGGCCCAGAGACCTCCAATGAGTGCAGGCTGACATGTTCTTCATGATACAAATAGAGAGGTTGGTCCTCTCCAACAACTTCACAGAATGCCGAAGCAGCCATGATCGTGTTACTTGCTTGGGTGCAAAGTCGGCGCATGTGCTACGCGGCCATTGCATGCCACGGAGGTTTAGGGCTATGTAGGGACCACGAGAAAGCATCTCACCAAAGGCTACTGTGGTCTACACGAGGGCAATAAGTAGTCTCACAAGGGAAAATGCCGCAGAGATAGGCAGTACACGGCATACACGACCACCATTGCAGACGGCACCTCTCCACCTTGCATTCCGACTGCTATCTCCTACTTTAGGCGCTTACTCTGGAGGCGGACCGAGTTTTCAAGCGGACGGTAAAGGAAGACCACGACTTCAACGAGTTCCAGCAACAACGGGAAAAGGTGACAGAGGGATATGTTTGCGACTACGTAGCTGTTAGTTTTCGCCATGTGACAAGCTTACTACTCAACCAAGCTAGTCTGGCGATCCTGATTAGTGGTTTCGTATGTACTACAACCAGGTAAATCTCAACAACTGCTGTTGGAGCATACATGTAACGTCAAAATTCACCGGGGATGATGGCGTACGTACATGCACCGTGCAGGTGCAATGACGCCTATTCTGGTTTACGAATGCCAACGGTCTTAGCTCCCCATGGCATGGCCCACAATACCCAAGGGCGGAAATCCTTGAAAGGACGGTCCGAATCGTTTCGAGCTCTGGATGGGAGGATCGTTTTGCGCAACTGCAGTGGTGTGCGTATCTCGTACGCTTGCGACTGGATTGACACTGTGAAGTGCCAGAGTCAAGTATCGCGGAGTATCCCGGACCGCTAACCCAGCGAAACACCACAACCCGAGACATGCGGCAAACGAGTATGTGTGCGATGGGAATCTCATTCGGAACCCTATGTATTGCTAGGGATCGAAACCGGTCGATTGTCGTTAACGCCTTCTCTCAAGTGCAATCATGGTATCCTCTGCTTAAACTGGGCAATGGAGCAGCCGATGGCCTCAGTACACCGGAGTACGTACGCTTCATCCACAGCGATTGCATTTGCCGGGTACATCATGTTGCTGGAACGCGAGGTCAAGCAAAAGGACACACCGGACCTAGACGGCATTCGATCAGCTCTATGGGACGAGCCCACACCCTCGGGACTCACAAATTAAGTGCTCAATAACCCCCCGTTCCCCAACGTATGTGTGTATCATTATCGTTCGCCGCACGAAAGTTGAACTATTTCTGGATAGTTGAGAAGAAAAACTTGGAAGACAAGCGGGCAGAGCTACGCAACAAGGAGAGGGAGCTGCAGGACATCGAGGAGAAGCATCAGGTACAGGACGGGCATACGATCAGGGAGGCGTATTAGGTATGGTATCACGTGAAGCTTGCAACGCACCATGCCTCAAGCGTTTTATCCTGGAGGTAATCCAGAGTTGATGTTTGAGCCGTTGGTGGTGGTGTCGTTGATATCTTTTATATAATTATACCTTCCACGAAACTTGCACTTGATGGTTGATGATGGACGACACCCCGGCGTGCACGGACACACGAAATCTGAGTAATACAACGATGGGGACAATGCCTGCAAGAATGGAGCTACGGTTTTCTCCCGAAGAGATTGATGGTAGTCGAACACGTGTTTCAGCTGCCGCATCGACTCAGAGAAATCCCTGTAGTTTATGACTTGTCGTCATCCTCGCCTACCTGCCATCCAACCGCTCTCGATGTTGTCCTTCGCGACTGTCTGCATCTGCCGGACCGAATAGGTAGAAATCAAAATCTACAAGCAGCGCGTAAAGCATCTCCTGTACGAGCAGCAGGATGACGTCACCGCCAAGAAGATGTCGGCGGAGGTGTCTCTGAAGCTTGCCCAGGTAAGAAAAAACACGAGGTGACCGTCTGCACGCGCTGTTGCTATGCCCGCACCTGCCGCTGCTATACCCTGACGCCACCGCTGCGACGTGGGTACTGGCGCCCGAACAAACACCGATAGAATTTTGACTTTCTCTGCATACTTCTTCGCTAAGTTAGCTTTCGCCCAAATGCTGTGACGCCCGTTGAATATTGGCTGTCGTGCTGTCCATGCGATAGGAAACAGTGTCTATACCACTATTCTATTCTGCAACGGCTGGCGGGGGCTGAGGAAGCTCCGAAAACATTGTAATAGCTTGTGCCTTCCCGTCAACGTAGAATTCTCCCAAAAATGCTGCTGGGATAAGACAAACGTGACAACATCGCCAAGAGGCAGTACCTGAAGCAGTAACAACGGCATGACTGGTGTGGCGAACTCCTCTGGCAGACGCAAATCTCCGCGCTTGTAACTTGGGGATAGGGTTTGGGCTAGGGTCCCACAACCGATGAAGAGCTAAAACTCTTGTTGCATGACCTGGGCTGGCCCGAGCAGGACGCACACCGAGAAGAAGAGAGGGAATTGAAAGTGGACAGGAGGGGGCTCAGGCTCGGGGCAAAGGAAATGGGACTGAGGTGAGGCAAAGGAAATGGGACTGAGGTGAGCTGTGACGTTGAGCTAGCGTTCAGCAATGACTAGGGAAGTCCTAGTGTTTTGGGGGCGTGATGCGCCGCAGGCGAAGAAAACGGGCGTTGCGTTAAAATTGGCAGCCTGTGGAGACGTTCAGATATTCGTCTTCTTCTTTTCTGTACAATAATGGCGGCGGTGTTGGTGGTTCACGTCCAAATTCGCAACTTGGAGAACAGTTTCAATCAGCTCTCTGTTGTACAGTGAGAACTTCGACCGGCCCCTTGCATTGACTCCCACCCCCCACTGCTATCGTGTTGTAGTCACGAGGCGTACCTGATGACGCTGAAGCAGCAGCAAGACCGGAACATCACGATGCTCAAGACGGAATTCGAGAGGAAGGCCGGGGAAGTGCACAAGATATTTGAGAAGGCCATGAAAACGGTTAGTCACCCAAGCACGTTTCTTCACTCCTCAGGAGCACAGGGAGACTATCGCCGTACAGTGTTGCTAATAGTGTTCCTCTGGACAAGAACACGTTCATATTTCGCTTGTCTTATTCTTGGAGCGGGAATGCGAGGTTGCTTAACCCAGGATCACAAGAGGGGGGTGGCCACATAGTGGTGCTTTTGGACAAGCGCACATTGTCTTACGCTTGGGGCGGAAATACGGCGAGAGTAAGCTAAACTGCGATCCCATCGACCCTCGAATCCTGAACTGGAACACCGGTAAAACAGGTCCGGGAACGGCTTGACGCAGCGAGAAAAGCGGAGACGGCGAAGATCGAGGAGCGAAAAAACTCCCACATCGAGCGGCTCATGAAGGCGCATGAGAAGGCCTTCGCTGAGATCAAGAACTACTACAACGACATCACGCACAACAACCTCGACCTCATCCGTTCCCTCAAGGAGGAGGTGCGGTATTCATGTGGTATCGTTGTATGATTCATTATCACCTTACGGTCGGAGAGCATACTGCCGCCTTTTGTGCTCGGATTCTCTTTCATTCAGGGTGTTGGTCGTCTCCGGGTTTCTGGGCGTGAGTCTTGACGCCTGTCGGCGTATATTTCTGGACGCCTCAGTAGGGCGGGGAACCAAATATCGTTGTTCCAATTTGTCTCGACACGACACAAGGGAAGCTCCTCGAGCCTGAAAATTTCCTCGTCTTCAATCATCCTACGGCCGACCTGAAAAGGGAATGTTAAGCCCCCCGCCGTACCATGCTGTATCTAGAAGCAAGAGACCTTGATGATGAGCCTTCTTCTTATGCACTGTGTGTTGTTGTTCCTTGGAAGACCTTCACCCTGTATCGCTGCTGCTGGTCGGCTACAAGTTGCTCGCTCAGGCTCCTCTAGCATCCGCCGACGAATAAAATCACTCCTCGCTGGAACTTTATCTTCTTGTCTCTCGTCTCTGTGCAGGTCGCCGACATGAGAAAGCGGGAACAGCAGGACGAGAAGCTCATGTACGAGATCGCCCAGGAAAACAAGAAGATGTCGGAGCCGCTCAGGAAGGCCCGACAGGTAAACCTGAATGCCCCAGTCAAGAAAAGCTGTGGTGAAAATGCCTTATATTTCCAGTGCATACAAGGGGCGCCTCCGGAGTAGGCTCATAAGATCATAGTAGTAGTGCCATCAAGGCGTGATGAAAGATGCAAGTGTACAGGATGTGTTGGTGTGAATCAGCTACCACCTGCCATCCCCATTCATTCTCCAGCTCGAACAGCTCACACAGCTCACTTATTTTTGACTCGAAGAGCCCAGCGAACGTCAAAGAAATCTGAACAGTCTTATCTAGGACCGGACGATGTCGTGCCCAGGGTGAAAACCGGTTTGAATGCACTCTCTGCACCACCAGCACAAAGCAATATGTCTCCGATGTGCCACACAGAGAGCCTGTTTCCCAGGTGACTCAGTTTGCAGACACTAGCGTGACAACCTTTGACATGTCGAGCACGCAAGACCAACGCCAGGGACATGTCTACGCCAGACCGTCAACCGGAAAGCAGCGAGAGAGTGAATGCAGCACAACACGATTGTAAACCTCCTTATCTCGTTCTCAAGGCAACCACACACTGTTGCTTGGGCTGATCAGGACGTGGAGAGGCTTCGGCAAGAGCTAGAACGGTATCGACAGGAGCAGGAACAGCTGAGACAGACTAAGGCCAGGGTGCTCGTTATGGAGGAGCGACTCCGGGACCTTCACTGGGAAGACGAGGTATGTACTGTAGCACTGTCCATAGCACACGGCAGCCGTTCTGATCGAATAGCATTGTGTCTCGCAACTTCACGTCTGGGTCCGCATTCGGTCAACAGAGTGATCTGGAAGAACGCTGTCGAGTCACTCCCCTGGAGATGAAGCACTGGACACTTCTCTCTTGATTTTCAGAGAGCCGTCCCGACTGTCCGTGCGAGAACGGCATTGGAACCTTGCGAACGGTACTCGTTTTCGGCAATATCGAGTTCGCTTAGAGGACTATATACGACAGCAAAGTTGTGAAGCTTCCTTCATCCAGCAGACAGAAGACGAGGCACGAGGGGTGCGATAAGCGACAGATATTTTCTCGTCAAGTCTGCCGCAGCAACAAAGTAGACGATATCAAGTATCGCAGCGAAATAGGTGGTACACTGGGTAATGACGCTTCTACATGTACAATAATGTAACCACTCCTCCCACGGGCACCCACACCCAACGTGCACATATCATGGGAACACATGCCCATCGGTAAATCCAATCACCTTTTGGTTTTTTCTTGGGCTCGCTTCGTGGAGTGAATGTGGCGGCGTAAGCCACGGAACCCTCGTATCAGTACCACTCTTACAATACACAGCAGTTGGCGACGGCGATTGAGAAACAACCCTCAAACAAAAACAAGGCTCAGATAATGGTGAATATCAAGAAAAATCGGCTATGATACACACCTCAGTCGTGGATCCTCCTCTACACTCTCTATTCAATGACCTACTGCTGTGAATGACATGCCCGACGGTAGTAACGAAATGAGAAATTGAGCCTCGGCAAAAAATCGACGCTTCTTCAGATCGCTGGCGCTAACACGCACCCTCAAAGGCTGACCGTTTTGCCGATGTCTCCTTGTGCCTGCCCTGCCACACAGGTGCTGGGCCAGCGGTTCGCGATAGTCAGTCGAGAGCGGGACCAGCTGAGGGACCGTTTCCAGGACTCTGTCAAGCAGGCTCAGCAAAAGTCGGGCTTCCGGAATCTCATCCTCGAGAGGAAGCTCGGGGGGCTTGCAGAGGAGGCTGAGAAAAGAGACGCGTGCGTTAACGAGGTCGGTGGGGAGTGACCACGGTTGTTGTTGTTGTTGTTGTTGTTGCTGGTTTCACATTTCAAACATTCCGATCTCTCTACCCAGTACCTTCATCTGTCCGAACCGATCTAACAGTGGTCGCGGTCGATTCCCGTTGTCACAGGCTGACTTCCCTTAAACAAGGCATCCTAAAACAAGATGATCCCGAAGCGAGCTGTGGTAGAGAGCTCTTGTGACTATGATTTTTCGGTTGTTGTTCATGTTCTTCCCGCATGGACTCAAGATTATATTCACTGTATAGTCAAGAGGATGAGTTTGTATCTTGCCTTCTGTGTAGTTGAGAATATTCTACTCCCCATACTTATCACACTCGAAAAGAGAAAACGACGAACACGGAAGTGGTATTATCGTCGCAAGACCTGTTGTATTATCACTCTTCGAAAACGGTCGAAATAGGGTATATGCGGCTTGTGACGACGAGTTACACGTTGTTCTACGTATGCGTCTTGGTAGCGCTCTGACTCGTGGTGGCGACGCCTGGCATCTTTTATCTTCAGGTTTTGTCACGGGCTAACTTGGAAGCCGTCGCAGCGACGCAGGTCAAGGGCAAGGTAGAAAACATTCTGGAGCAGAAGGGTCGGGTGAGTCCATCTAACCTCGCCTTGACAAGCCCGTGCCGACGATGTTTCTCCAAGGCGGGATCGACCGTCCCTTGCTTCCTGTTCTCGAACAGTTTCGTTGTATTTTGCACACATGGTCCTTTTAGCTTGTGTTCAAGATCTGCTTTTGTGGGTGGTGTCTGCGTTCATTCATAACTCGTCCGTCTTGCCGTTGGTCTACACGGGGCCGTATCGCATCAACCTCGCCAGATATATCCCGCTGACCCCGTCACCTCATTTCTCTTTCATGTGTCCAGCCACCCACTGTTTCTCCTCCGGCCGCCAGAACCCGTACGCTTGCCGCAACGTATTACAAACCCTGCTTATGAGGCCTTGCGTAGATAGCAAACGGCACGCTGCGATCCCCACCCAAACGCTTGCGCACCGAATGTCGCGGGTATTACTATAAAGCTAGCATGGGAATGGAACGCTTCCTATTTCGAATACCATCTCGTCGACAAAATAGGTGGTGGCGGATCTCGAACAAGAGGTGGCCAGGGTCAAAACCGCGCACGCCAGGCTCGTTCGAGCAGCCGAAGCAAAGCTGCGCGACTTCGGCATCCCCACCGAAGAACTGGGGTTTCTGCCTCAAGTTGTATCCGGTGGGGCCGGCGCGGGCGGGGTGGCAAGAACGGGGCTTCTCACTGCGAGAAAAGGCGTTAGCGGCGAGGGGGGTCGTGGTGGGGGGGGGACGGCCGGGGGGAAACAGCGGCCGCCTCAGCACGTGTCGGTAACTCAGGCCACTGTGAAGGCTTGAAAACGTTCGAATCGCTTAGTTGGTGTTGCATTCTTGTTCAAGCAGAATGTGCCACCCGGCGGGTGTCCACGTCGATTCGGACCCAGCAAGGGTTTCTGCGAGTACTTGGTTCAATTCAACGGATCGGCGACAATCACTCTCATACGGGCTTGACCGTCATCTCAACGCGCTCGCGACCCTTAGTGTGGGTGCTTGGTACATTTAGTTTTTCTGCGTGTTGCGGAACGTATGGTCAGTACAGTGCTTCCTCTTGAATTGTTCAGAATGTTACTTTTGTTTAGGTTTAGATTTTGCATGGGAAAAGTGCAGCGTGGCATCAACTTGTTGACCAAACACACACTTGTAGGACAAAGTTTCGCGGAGCTTTTTTTGAAACGATTGAATACACAAAAGTTCCATCACAGACAAGCGAGCCATTCAAACGACACTTTGCACCACATGACTGCGTGCCTTCATGTTCGTGTACACCAGTCAGTACCTTCGACACATTCATTCATACATACTTGGAAACGCCTCGTCCCCAAGTAGCAAAGATCATCTGCACAATACTCCAAACGTGTATTGTACCCCCTACCAATAGGCCGCTGCGATACCGTACACACTCGTCTAATCTCCTCTGCATGAAGCATTGACTACTGCAGACAGCCGACAGAGCCGGGGGGAGTTGCCCATCGAACTCGACGAGGGCAAGAGTGCAAGTCCGTGGGGGGAACTCGAAAACACATCGTGTGAATATTCGCAAAATACATTACCCCATTCAAGCCCCATTACGGTACATCAATGCAACGCCGTACCCCATTCACCCCACTTCGATACCAAAGCATCGTCAGGAAACCCACTACGGGAGGACCTATGATAACAGCCACCACAGCGAAGTAGGTTGGTTGCGACGCGATGTAGTATGTGTACACGCACCGACGTCCGAAAAAAAGAAAGAGCCGAGGGGGTTGAGAAACTTCACATAGACTACTGTTGGATCCGAGGAACGGGAACCACTGGCCAGACGTGGCTACTTGGTACGACGTATGTCGGTATTGCAGACTGCTTAGTTAGGAAACAAACCACCGTTGGCGGCACTGCAAAACTCGTAGGGCTTTGGTCATGAAAGATCAAGACAGAGAAGAACCAGGAACCCAATGATTAGATATATTCTAGACTGTCTCTGTGCAGCAGCAGCAGCAGCAGCAGCAGCAGCAGCTATTTACATATATATATGTGCCAGTCGCCGTAGTTCAGTGATCTACAGGCGTGCTGCTGTAAACTCATGTAGACAGATACACAGATCAGATGCAGACTAACATAGAGCAGACTGCAACAATGAAGTCTAAACTGCTTGGCAAGATACGATGCGGTGGTATTCGTCGGAGAACGTCGATCGTTTGGTGATTGCAAACCTAATGGTGCGGCGTGTACATGCTGGTGTGTCTACCGAAGCAGGCTTCTTGACCACAGTTGTTTCCGCTCATGGAATGCTGTACATCCGGAGACATGAATTGCCGGCTGTAACACAGATTCTCAGCAGGTAGACTGACTATTACATACTATATAGACACATTCACCATCACATTCACCATCCATTTCATGAAGGTTTTTTCTCCGCAGTGTAGTCTAGTGTACAAAAAATCAAAATACCCTATTATTTTCGTTTGAGATAAGTAACTAAAAACGGGTATTATACCCGGATAGATTATCATCATTTCAGGGCACACTTGGAAATCAAGACGACACCAATCTCCGACAGCATCCGCTGTAGATCGCGGCGAAACCAATAAACCGCTGCCTGTGTCCTGTGTGTCCTGTGCCTCGGAAGCATGATGCACGAGGCAGGTCGTGCCCGTGTTTCTCTCTCTGTGTGCCTCTCTCTGTGCTTGTACCTATCAGTACCACACCGAAGTACTAGCGCGTCAAGCGAGTCCGACCCTCTGTTGAGAAGGGCCGGTATCCTATGGAGGCGGTGCCCACGAACGATGAACGAGCGAGCGTTGCTGGTGGTTTGGTTGTGGTTATGTATGTGCGATACACGGTTTGTGCGGTACACGTTTTTTTCTGCGGGTTTAATGTATGCTAGAGCGTCGGGCGCCTGGATTATATGACCATTTCTGGGTACAAAATTGCAAAAATTGACCTCTTCCGGGTACACCAGTAACCAATATCGTTCACACCAGAGGGTCCTAATTCCAGCGGAAGTTGTACCCGATGGAGGTTTCTTCAGAAAGAAATGGATACAATGTTTTTTCGGCCAATCAGCTGACGACAGCCTGGGGGTGCAAGCAAGCGTGTTGATTTGTAACTGTACCCTAAAGTGGTGATAAAAGTACCCAGGTATACATACCCGTTTCTGGTTTTTGGTCTTTTTGTTTCCCCGCGGCGTCGTAGTATGTGCCGGGTTTTGAGACCACGGGTTCCCCATTTTTGTGGACTATGGAGCTAATGTGAGAAACATGCATCTACAGCGTAGTAGCAGAAAGTAGTAGTAGAGAGGAGTGTGTGTGAGTGTGTTTTCGTCCTATTTATTATGGCGGCAGTCCCCCCACATTTTTCGTGGTGAGACGTTTATTAGTCTAGTCTACACTTTCTCAGCGAATGTATGTAGACTAGAGTACTACACTTTTCAGTGTATTTTTTCGTGCAACTACAACCGTCCAGGGCGGCATGGCTTATGAGGAAATAAATGGCTCAGGCAGGAGGCGGAAGCGTCCGCGAAGCGCCAGCGCGCGAGGGAAGCAGAAGCAGAGAGTACGGCCATCTCAGGACCGAAGTGAAAGAATAAAGAAAGATAGTTGGGGAAGCGGCGGTGGGGGGGAAGAAACGGCGACCGGGCAGTCCTTACTGCTGTAAAGCGATTATGGCGGCCGACGCAGCACTTGTGGCGAACATGTACCCGGCTGATGTTGCTGCGCCCTGTTTCCCTCCCTGCCGTACGCTATACTCGTTCATGTATGTATGTCCGTTGTATTGCCTTCGGCCTCTGTGCTGTGTTTCTTTTTCATGACCTCCCTGCCT